GCTTGAATTTATGAGATGGTAATAATTTATAGAATACTTCTATTTTATTTACTTATTAACGTGCTATTTCTGAAAATTTCGATTCAGTATATAGGAAATAGGGTTATGTGAACTATGTTATATGTTTGCAACTTGTAATTTGTTGTTGATAAAACAATTTAGAATGAAAGAAAGAAAGCTAAGTGTGTCTATATATCCAATCAATTAAATTAAAGTATCCAGTCATCTGATCAAAATCCATATTTTTTAATGACTTGATAAAATTGTTAAGTAACAATTGATGAAGTAGATCATATATTTGCATCTTATACTTATATATCTTTCTTTGTATATATGCAAGATTCGATCATCGGCTCCTAGTCAAAGAGGAAAACGGCCTTTGCTCTTGGATATACCACATGACATTGTAGAATTATCTCATTCTGAAAATTGTATACAAGAGTCAAAAAGAAGAACTACCAAGAATGTCAAAGATATACAAATACCTGAACGCAAAGCTGTTCCTCTTTCTGATAATGGTATCTGCACGATGCAAAAAATAGTATCCGAGCATGTAAGTTTATTTATAAACTATATTATAAGTTACAATCTTTATTTTATACCTTTATTAATTTTATTGCTGTAATAAAGTAACATATGATATTGATTAGGAAGAGAGAGTAAGAAAACTTCTCAGTAAACCCTTTCAAATACCAATACCTGGTTACAAATTATCTGGACGAGTTCTTGGATTACGTCTGCCAGGACCACGTAGACCATTACATGATCCTAACGAAGCCAATGCCTTAATTGTTTATTCACCACCAGAATTATCAGAACATGATAGACTGAAAGTAGATCTGTATGTATTAATATATTTCTAAATATATGCATATATATATATATATATATATATACTTTTCATAGTATAGTGTTATTGCAGTTTATGTTTAAAACTATATATTTTAAGATCAAGTTATGTGTATTTAATTTTTGCAGATGCAAGCAGCTTGTACACGTAGTTGTAGATCCTATATTGTGCAATGTATTACGACCGCATCAGCGTGAAGGTGTAAAATTTATGTATGAATGTGTAACAGGGAAACGTATAGACAATGCATATGGCTGCATCATGGCAGATGAAATGGGTCTTGGTAAAACACTACAATGTATAACTTTGTTATGGACATTGTTGAAGCAGGGTAAAGTGTTTAAAGTTATTGATAAAATTAGAAAATAGAGGGAATGATATAATCGAAAAATATTTGTGTTGTGTATAGGTCCAGAGGCTAAACCGCTAATAGACAAAGCAATTATAGTTGCGCCTAGCTCTTTGGTGAAGAATTGGTACAATGAAATTAATAAATGGTTGAATAATATGGTCAACACTCTTGCTATAGATGGAGGGAAGAAAGCAGACATTGACACTCAACTCATCCGTTTTATGAAAACTTATGGCAGATGCGTAACTCCCATTCTCATTATAAGTTATGAAACATTTCGTTTACATGCACACGTCCTGCATCAAGATGAAGTAGGCCTTGTATTATGTGATGAAGGTCACCGCTTAAAGAATTCTGAAAACCAGACGTATCAATCCTTGATGGGTTTGAAAGCTAAAAGAAGGGTGTTACTTAGTGGAACGCCCATACAAAATGATCTTTTGGAATACTTTTCCCTCGTACACTTTGTTAATCAAGGATTATTAGGAACTGCACAGGTTTAATAACATTTATCATTGTCTATTATCATATTATATTAGCATATTATTATTTTAATACACATTATGTGTAAACATACATTACTGAAACTATTCTTTCAGGAATTTCGAAGGAAATATGAGACGCCCATATTACGTGGCCAAGACGCGGCTGCAACAGACGCAGAACGTAAACTCGCTCAAGAGCGTTTATCTGATTTAGTATCCATTGTTAATAAATGTCTGATTAGACGTACTAGCGCTTTACTTTCGAAATATTTACCACTAAAATACGAACTCGTGGTATGCATAAAAATGGGAGAGCTGCAAACACGGCTGTATAAGAATTTTATACAAAGCGATAGTATAAAAAGATCTATGGAAGGTGTGGGTTTAAGTCACTTTAAATAACAATCTTTAAAATATAAAAAATAATGCCTCAACAGTATTATATAATGGGGATTTATGAAATATATATATTTTATTTCTTATATAGAGAATGATAATCCAAAGAAAACTGGCAGTCTATCTGCTTTAGCTGCCATAACTCTTTTAAAGAAGCTATGCAATCATCCTGACTTGATATATGATAAAATCATGGAAAAGGCAGATGGATTCGAAAAAGCTGCATTATTGTTACCACCAAAATACTCTACAAAGTAAGATTACATAAGATTAAGTAAGAATGTGTGTGCATCACTTAATAAACGAGAAATCTTTGTTTTAGAGAGCTAATGCCAGAATTGTCGGGCAAACTGATGGTTCTAGATTGTCTTCTAGCGTCTATTAAAACTACAACCAACGACAAAATAGTACTTGTATCCAATTACACGCAGACTCTCGATTTGTTTGAGAAACTGTGCCATAAACGTTCCTATAATTATGTGAGGCTTGACGGGTCGATGACGATTAAGAAAAGAGCGAAAGTAGTCGACAATTTTAACAGTAGCAACAGCAACGATTTCATCTTTATGCTCAGTTCGAAAGCTGGTGGATGTGGGTTAAATCTTATAGGTGCAAATCGTCTCGTCATGTTCGATCCAGATTGGAATCCTGCAAACGATGACCAAGCGATGGCCAGAGTGTGGAGAGACGGTCAGAAGAAACCATGCTTCGTTTATCGCTTTCTTTCTGTTAGTATTAGAATAATAGTATTTTTATCAAACAATAAGTAATGAAAATATTTTCTTAGTAATATAAAAGTTGTATACTTATTTATAAATTGAATCAATAATACATATAAAGCAATATAATATGTTTTATTTGTATTTCCAGACTGGAACGATAGAAGAGAAAATTTTTCAGAGACAAGCCCATAAAAAAGCATTGAGTTCCACGGTGGTTGATCAAGAGGACGACGTGGCGAGACATTTTACCATAAATGATTTGCGCGATTTATTCAAATTGGAGGAGAATACTGTTTCTGATACACATGCAAAGTATAAAATCGCTAAAACTTATTTTAAAATTGTATATAAATCTGGAAGAGTAATACTATTATTCTTATTTAGATTCAAATGCAAACGTTGTATTAATGGCATCGAGGTGAAAGGTCCTTCAGAGCAATCCGATTGCAATTCCGATCTGTCTGACTGGCGACATTCGCATAATTCACGGCATTTACCGGATATACCGTTACGACAATGTTGGGCTAGCGGTATTTCGTTTGTTTTTCATCATCGTTCCCATGAACAAGTAAAATGATTCTTGTCTAATGACAATTTGTTATTGTTTGTTTCAAAATTTTACATGTAATTATTAGAATTAGATATTGATAAGAACATTAATAAGAAATATTGTAACTGCAACAAATTAGCTTGTTACGAAATTTATTTAAAAATAGTTTTTCTTTCTTAAAGATAAAAACGTAACAACCTGGAATTTTACTTTAATACATATATTTTTTTATTACACGCTTATTGTGTGTGTAATTCAGTTGGTTTTGTAAAAGATCGCAAAATATGTTTTGCAAAAACGCAGTTGCAATTTATATCAATATAAATGTGCCTTGCATTTTGTATAAATAAGTTAGTTGTGTTTATAGAAAAAGATAAATTTTGGATAAAAATAAGGAATGTGTGTATTTGTGGTATCTCTCTCCAAATGTAAATATAAACTTTGAAACAATACAATACTTAACGCGTTACAATAAGAAATATTTCATTTATGTATAATTAAAAATATTTTTATTATAAATATTTGTGTAATATATATATTTTTACCAAAGTGAATAAAAGAGTGAATATAAAATGTTCACAATAATTTTAAAGGAAATTTGTTGAAAATTGATATAGAAAAAGATATATTTTCGATCATTTAATAAAATTAATTATTCTCTAAAGTTGTGAATTTTTAATTTTTAAGTTTATGATTTCCACAAATATAAAATGTTTAAAAATATTCAAATAAATAAACATAATTATAAAAAATAAACTCTTGATACGGAGTGTCAATTGATTATTATTGCTATTTAAAATTTGAGATACCCTAAAAGGATAAATTGATACGTGGTTGGATCTATAATATTTACAGATATCCTTCGAAGCAAAATTCGTGTTTCAGTATATTTTCCTTGTAAATTCAATCGATTGTATTTCGATCGATTATATTTCTCTCTTTATCAATTTTATATTCTCTGATAATCTTGTTATGTACGTTTTAATTTAATCTAATCAAATAAGAAACAGACTTTTTTAATCGTTCGGATAACGCTGCATTTACTAATCGTTGTAAAAACAAAATCGTTTGAAGAACATGCTCGCGTAACATAATCATGTGCAAGTATCGAAAAATGATGTCAGCGATAAGCTGGTTGTACGATTGTAACATAATCTTTCATTATCATTCCCCATGCTCGTTTCGCAAGGCCCGTGGATCCCGTGATTGTGCGCGCTCGGGAGATACGCCGAGTCACGCACCTGCGTTTTACGAGGCCGAATGTTTTCGGAACGCGCAATAGATCGCGTCCACGCCTTTTTGCAGCAGTTCCGTATGCAGGACAACACAGCGGTATCGAGGAATTCTGTCTCGCGCGGTGAGAGATCGGCCGCGCTGCTTGGGTTGGGGACCGTGAGAATCATGAGAAAGAGGTAGAATTGAGGCGGGACGGGACGGGGCAAGACGGGTCGAGGCTGGTCGAGGACGCGGGAGGCGAGCGGGGGGGCGGGGCGCGACCACGTGATCGACGGACGCGGCAGGCGATTGGCCGAGCTGCGCGTCGCTTTCCCTCCTGACCTGCTGCTCGTTTGTTCCGCCACCGCCGCCATCCGACGGTTTCCGCAACGGGCGTCTGGCTAGGAGGCTCAGAATAGTTCCAGATGTGGCCATGTTTAGTTTCGATCTCCGAAGTTTTGCGCTCATCGTCATATAAACCGCTACATTTTTATACTGACTGCTGAAAGAGTAAATAATACGCATCTGTCCGACCGATCTCGTACTCTTCGTCTTTGCCTGCGACTCATTTATTCGCTGCATCCACATGCTGTTTTAACGCCCTTGCTGAGAGATCCGAACGACGCAGAGACGCGAACGAAAGAAAGACGAAGAGAGAGAGAAAGAGACATTTTGTTTGTCGTCGCGTTTGACCGTCGTTCCGCCGATCTCGTTCCGAGACGGAACGTCGGAGCGACGCGAATCCGTGACACCTTTGGATTCTCCAACTCCAAGAGAACGCGAGATTTTTCGTTCTCCTTCGTCCCGTATATGTTCTTCAATCTCTCGGCAAGAGTCGCGAAACATTGCGAAAAAAAATCCGCTCCGTCGTTCCCTATCTCTGTTGCTCTCGGGGATACTAAAAACGTTCGTCGTTATTTGGAGAAAGAGAGAGAGAGAGAAAGGAAAGAAAGAGAACCAACGTTATTGTCGTAAAAGAGAATCGTGCCTTCGTACGGTTAAAATCGCAGAAGTGAAAGCATCGTTAAATTTTCGGGGAAAGGGGTGAAAAAAAAGACTTCTCGCCCGAGAGAAAGAGCCGCTTTCTTCTTCTTTCTCTCGATCCCCTCCTCCTCTTCCTCCGCTCTTCTTCCCTTCTTTTCGTCTCATTTTCCGGCGAGTTTTCGAGTACGCAAGCGCGAGCGCGTTCTCATTTTCAGCGCGTCGCACTTCCGTTTCGGGCACGTCGCGCGCGCAACGACGTCACACTCAGGCACACAAAACGGACGACGGCGGGGGGCAAGGCAGACAGGCAGGCGAGCAAGGCAGAAAGAGAGAGAGAGAGAGAGAGAGACAGGGTGGGTAGGTAAAAAGATAATCGCTTCGGGAGAGAGAGACGCCCACGACGATCGCTGGGTCAGCCGTATGCCACGTCAGCCAGAATGACGTCGTTCTCGCGACTGCGAGAAAAGGAGGCTCGTGCGATCTGACGGTACTCCAATTTTCCACGCGCGACACATTGATCCAGAGAGAGAGAGAGAGAGAGAGAAAGAGAAAGAGAGGGCCACGCGAGGGGGCGAAACGATATCGCTAGTGAAAACAAAAAAATAAAGGGAGATCGGTATCATCCCGTCTTCGATGAGAGGGCGACAGAGAAAGGGAGGAAACCGAGGGTAGGAAAGCCAGCCGAGAAAAGTGTACAGTATATCCGCGTTTATTCAGTTCGAATAAGGAGAGAGAGGCTCGCTCTTTAAAAAAAAAAAAAAAACACAAGTCCGCCGAGCCTGTCAATAATATTCGCGAAAAGTCTTTTGTGATGAAAATGCATAACAAAGCGAGCCCCCTGTAGAGACAGAGAAAAAGGGAAGAGAGAACGCATTATATAAGTGTCCGCGGTGACACACAAAGTATCGTTTTTGAAAAAGAGAGAGAGAGAAAGAGAGAAAGATAGAGATAGAGATACGACGGAGAAAGGGAGAAAGAAAGACAAAATAGTTTCTTTTCCAGTTTCATATGTGGAGCGCTTATTAAGCTCTCCCAAATGCTAGCATTCGGTCGACGCGATTATATTCCGTCAGAGCAAAGACCTGTCGAGTGTGGTCGGGCAAATCGATCGTATGATCCGCCGATCGGACGGCCGCAGTGCTGATATATAGGAATTTCGGTACTTCACTCCGGGGTACCACCGAGAGCGCATACGCACAGATCGAGACTCGATCTGCGAAAATGGCAGTAGAGAGTGTTTCCGCGGCTGAGACTCTGATCCAAAGGTTTGCCACCTAAACTATATACTATTCCGTACTCTTCCGCGCGGTTAAAATATATTCTCATTTTAATTCGACCGCCGAATGTGGGCTACATTACGTACATAGAAGCGAAGGAAAATTTCTCGCGAGTGACATTGTAATCATCGTTCACACATACACACACACACACACACACACCTGTCCATACACACGTATACCCTACAATCACGTATCTCCGTCTCACCCCCCCCCCCCCCCCCCCCTCCACCCTCCCTCTGTAGTGACGCATTCCCTCTCCTCTATTTTCGTTCCGCCAGAGCGCGACGAAAAAACGAGCGATATCGTTCAATTTCGACGCATCTCATGTTTCCTCTTCCGTAGAAAATATGCTTCGCATCGCGTCTCGTTTATACCGCAGCCTTCGTAGCTTTCTTCCTCCCGATTGAAAAACAGCATCCGCAGATCTATTCTTGAATCTATGTCTCTCGTACGAAAAAAAAAAAAAAAAAACATCTACTCTCTAAATTCTTTTAACGTCGAATTTCACTCTTGCCAGTGTAAAAAATTGAGCCAGTCTCCTGAAGAAGAGTGACTCGATTTTCAATCCCCAAGAATGAGATTTCATTCTTCAAGAGTGACAATTCGCTCTAAACGATTCAGAGAGTACGTGATTATGTACATACATTGTAGGAGTTTCGTGTGCGATATTTTTCAGGAGCAAGGCCCCTTTACCGATCGCTCCATTTCCTCTCTCGGGATACCACGAATCGATTTCGAGTGAAGAAGCGGGGTGGACAGGAGGTCAAGGCCGTTCCTGTAATTCTCGTTGAAATGGCGGCGTAATTATTCTCGAGAGTCGATTGCGATCCCGCGGGTGTCCCGGCGGATTATTTTCAGAATTGGGTCGGAGTGCAGTTCTGACGAAATAGAGGGAGGGGAGGGGAGGGAAGGGGAGAGAGAAGATACGAGGGAGAATCGCGTTGCGGCGAACCCCGGCTTATTTTTATTTATAGAAGATACACCGGCGATTGTAAAACTGACAGTAATATTTTGATTCATTCGGAATATCAACGTAAAAATAAAATAAATATCCTAAATTTCCAATCTCTCTCGGAAAGTAAATGTGCGCAGTTTTTTTGTAGTAGAAATGATTTAATCAATACGAAACTGAGTTTATTCGAACCAATTCCGATTCGTGAATAATACCCGTTTCCAATGTAGTTAAACTTTAATCTCAATTCACAATTGACTCTTTATCTTTTTCTAATTCTAAGAGTTCGAAAAAAAATGAAGCGTAAGTTGAATTGAGATTAAAGTTAATCTAATCTGATAGAAACAGAGGCATAAATCCAAGTTGAGACTGTAAACGCTTAGAAATTACGGATCGATCGTTTCCGGGTCACTTCCGGTCAACCGCTTAGATTCTTCAGCTTTTTTTCACTCTTTACAAAAGATCGATTACACTCGCTCATACAATGACGGTATAAGTAGAATAAAAGGAGAAACCCATTAAATTTTTCCTCCTACGACACATGCAATATATCAAGTGTCTCGAATGTATCGCATTTTAGGTTTTTATGAAATTTCTATAATTTTTCTGATTATAGTCTTATTTTTTAGTAAAAATGTGGGACCGATCTGGTTATGAATATTAAACCGTATGGCAGTAAAAGATAATTCGGTTGAGAACGTCATTACAAGTATATGTAAGTTTATAATTAGAATTTCATAGAAAGAACGATTTTGATGAAGTATCTAAAAATTTAGCTGGATACATATCTGAAAATAATTTTTGGAAGGAAAAATTACATCAAAATAAATTACATATAGGAAACTCAAGCATGGTGAGCAACGCTGCGATATATGTATCAGTCTTAACATAATTATTTTGATGGACAAAATTATTTTCAGATCTAGCAAAATTTTTAGATATTTTCTGTTATTACAAGAGCGATTGTTATTCCAAGGGAACTTTATTTTATCGATTTGCGATCATCGAGGCGTTCAAAATCAATTTGAATTTTGATTAAAGAGAAATCGCGCGCGGTCAATTATGCAAAATTGAAGGAAAAAACGGCCTTGTCCGTTCTATGGAAAAGATCATCTCAAAATTCATAAATGAAGACGGAGAAAGAGAGCGATAGATCCGAGTCACTCTATATACACATGCTCTTCCAAGCCAGAACAATCGAACACTCGTCCAAAGACCTTTAGTTTCTACCCCCTTAACACACACGAGACACGTCCATACGTAAATACGCACGCAACACTCAGCAGGCAGAAACAGATAAAGACACAGAGAAACTCTTCAATGAACGAGAATCGACACGCGAAGAGCTTTTGGGCGTAATATCTCTTTTGGCGTCATCCACTTTAATGTCACCCTTAAATCGACAATATTGCAACGACGACAATGTTTAAAATGTGGTGGTTCCTTCGACGGTTACGTCACTATAACTATATGATTATGACAATTCGTCGTAATGATAATGATGAAAATGATGATGATCTGATGACAATAATGATCTGATGATAATGCAGATGATAATGATGATGAATTGATGATAACCCGATGAGAGCGGTAAGGCAACTCCAATCTTCTATTTCCGTTTGGTAATCATGCTCCTGCGTGACAACCTATATACATTTCGGTAATCGATCGATGGGATAAATTTTTTTAATTGGAAATAAGTTTAATGTCTCATTTCTACCAATGTAGAATAACTTTAATTCGAGTTTATTATTTTACTCTTTATCCTTTTCTAATTCTTACAAATAGGAGAAGTAAAAAGTAAATTATATCTAGACAAAATTAAAATACGTTGAAACTCAACGAATAAGAAACAGTCAAAACAATCTTTTCAAATAATTGCTTTCTTAAAAAATGCTTTTTAAATCATTTAATGTGAATTATGTATATATTATATATACGTATTGCAAACAACACTTGCATATATATCATATTCGTAGTCTTACCTGTTTTTTCAAGTCCGGACGAATTTCAACGTGTAGTTTTCAATGACTACAAATATAATATATATGCAAGTACATATGTAGATATATACATAACTCACTTTTAATTATTTAAAACGTTAAAGATCGAGCTTCGATCGTTATGGCCAGTATCCATATTCTATTTCTTATTTGTTGAGTTTCAAATATACGGTCCAATAAGATTCCTATATTGTTTAAAATACATTGGTAGCTAGAAATGGGCTTAAGAGAAGAATGTCGGGAAGCGATTTAATCTCCGGTAAGTTCGACCTTCGGAAAACATGTGAAAAAGACCTTGTGCCAATTGACATCCGCAAGTCTTCGTGGACTATTTATAAACATTCTAACGTATTTGTTTTTCGAATTTTTCAGATTTATTAATATCCGATTTCCAAATTCGAGCAGCGGACTTTTCACGCCTTTTCACGTTCTTTACGATATTTCCGCAAGAACGCGTGTTCGTTCCCCCGCTAATAAAGCGAATTGCTTTTCCTTTGTTTTTTCTCGCAGAGTCTCAATCATGTAACTTCTTCTCTATAGTACAAACATGAAAAGTGAACATTTTTACGTATGTATGTACATATATATACACACATAAGAAAAAAGGTAAAAGAATTTTTTGCTATTTATTTGCGCTAATTTTCTTTATGGCTTATTTAAGTATAAAAACACACTGATAGACAGACACAGTAATATGTACTGTTATCCCAGCTCATTTGAGAAATTTTAAATAGAATGTATCGAAAAGACCAAATGTGAAATTTTTTTTTGTCGATACATTGTTGTGTAAACATAAATGTAACATATTTGCAGTGTGTATAATACAGCCGAAGTATTAGCGGTATTTTGGTGTACGTAAATATACCGATGAATATCAAATTTAAGAAACACGCGATAATACATTGGATAATACAAATGACATCATAACGCCTTTTACACGACAAGAGCTGAACATGGTTTGACCTGAAAGGCGAGAAACCTCGGTATGTTTGGTTTTCTATTATGTTTGCGAAAAAATCATCAGGATTTTATTGCCTACCAAAAGACCTCGTTCAAAAGTTTCTCTCGAGTGCACTCAGGTATTATTTTACCCTTGTTTAAGTTGAGGAGCAAGAATAAAATGGTATCTGAATGCATCTTGAGTGAAATTTCTGAACGCAGCTGTATAGGATGCGTTTTCTACTCAATCGATCACAAGGGTGCGTTCAGGAATTATGCTCAGATAACTCTTGGGTGCAGTTTTGATATAATATATGTAACGTAAACTATAGCCTAGAGTTATCTAGGCGTAATTCCTGAACACAACCCAAGTAACCTGTTTCTAAACTTTAATTTCGGTTTAACTTTTTTAGTTCTAATTCTTAGAACAAGTAAAAGATGAAGACTGAGTGGAAAACGCGTTATAAAAATTATATACACGTGTTATAAAAATTAAAGAATTTTTTCGTAATTATAATAGAAAGCCGAAATCTCGTCCTTCAGATTCGGAAGGTGAAAGGGAAAAGCAATGGCTGCGTTTATCATAGAAAACTAATTAGTTAGCATACTTGATTCTTTAATAATTAATTCCTACACATATGTCTAAATTTAGCATAGAATCGTATAAGGCGTGTAACATATTTCTGTAAAACTTATATAAGAATTTTTAAATGCTTATACTTTTATACGATATCTTTACAGACAGTTTCTTACTAACCGTAAAATTTTACAAAAAATCCTAGATATTTCATAACAATCGTACATATTTACTAATAATCGTATCTTACGATACATATGCATAAAATTAGAATACTAGTCATAAGTTCTTACAAGTTTTATGAGAACAAATTATACGAGTCTTACAATTCTGCTTAGAATTGACTCATTAGATCAAGTGAGGACTAAAAGCAAGAACCAATCGTATTAAATAATGACTAAGCGCAAATTGATTAGCGCTCCTCAGATTCTGTGTACATTGTAATGTACATTAAAGACATTACATTTAATTTTATCAACATCATCTGAGATCTGATGTCGATAATAAATGTATATATGTGTTTAAAGAATAGTCAAAATTCTGAAAAAAAAATCAATTATTTAGTATGAATTATTTATTAAAGTACGCGTGAATTCAATTAAAAAATTTCATTTTAATATAGTTTCAAAAAATCTGAAGAGGTTTTATTTGCTGAACGTAGCCAAGGAGAAAAGCAGCTTTGCAACTGTTGTAAAAATCTTTCATATGGTCTTATCTTTAGTTCCTCATCGGATCTAAATGTATTAAACCAATCATATCAAAAAATTGTCCAAAAGTTTCAAAATCTAGATTTTTTTTCTGCTAAACGCAATTTGCTAAATTAGCGCGATTGTGGACAAGAGGAACAGATAACACAGTGAATCATTTTATCTCTAGCATTGGCAAACGAGTATGTAATGATTCACTGTGTCTCTCATTGGGGAAACCATTATCTCTTATTAGCGGACACAGTATATTGATCGAAAACACTTCCGCGAAAATTAGACTCGTACATATAAAATTCTTTCGTTTCTTCTTTCATGTGTCTGTACACGGCTGGAGTGTATGCGTGCGTGTTTACAGCAGATAGCCGTGACTCTCAGCCGTCATCTTTGGTAGTCGCACGCGCACCTGCTCGTTTTCCCGCCGGATCTCGTCCATCGATCGGTTTCTACGTCATCCGAATGTGCAACCCCTGTCTCGCGCCATAAGCCGTCCCCTTCTCGTTGTTCTTCTGGCTCTCCGTTAACGCGGTGTGAATCGATGTTTTCGGCACGGTCAGTAGCTACGGTGCCGCCACGTTACAGACCGTGCAATCTGGATTTTCCCCCTGCAGGAGAGAGCGTCTCCTTCGCGATACGTATATAGTCTGTCGACCTGTTCAATGACTGCTTGCGCTATCAATTTGACCTTGGCGACAATCGCGAGTCCGTCTTCATGAATTTGCCTCGGCGTCATTTTTAGCTCGCCGCGGCGCACGCAGGCACGCACGCACGCACGCACGAAACGCACGCACAACAACAACCACCACCATCACCACCATCACCATACACTCGTGATAGATTCCGAGACAGGCTATTATGAATTATGATGAGGTGATAACATAAATCGAGAGATGCGCTTTCTTGTAGAAATTTATGAGCACCGTCATTTCCGATGAGAAATGTTCGCGTGCGATCTATCACAATTTTCATGCCGATTAATTTTCGAAACGATCGAAAAATGCGTTTCGTCAATGTGCTTCGATGTACATAACGCCGAAATGTATTTTGAGTAACAAACGTCATCAGATCTTGCTCATTTTCGTCATGTATTAGCAGTAATGTATGAACGATACACTAACGAATTAAAATGAAAACGCAAATATATATATCTTATCCTGTTCAAGTTTATGTTATTTAATAATTTTTCGTGCACGAAGGAAGTCACAATTGTGTCGTAATTACCGTGTATATCTATATATTGCAGAAACATATATATTTCATTAAAATAATTCGTCATTTTACGTATAAAGTATTCTATTATTTCATATACAAGGAAGGATAATATTCCTCAGAAACATTAAAAATAGAAATTCTGCAATTAAAACGCTGAAGTGAATAAATATTCTATTCTATTTTAGAAACTCTGCAATTGTCATCGTTGCAATTTCTATTGAATTAGAACATCTTGTCTTAATTAAAAAGTTTATAGCTATATGATTATACACAATTTAATTATTTTACTCTTCATGTATTGTATTAAAAAATATAAATGTCTATTTAAACAAATATGATGTATAAGAAGTAAACTAGTTATTATTAATGCGATAAATAATACTTGAAGAGTAGTTTACGAATCTCAAGGATTACTTATACGAAAAGCATCTGTATTGTGGATCTTTCACATAATTCTCATAATATTCTTTTTTTTAATGTGCAGCAACGATAACGATTTGGAAGATGGAGAAATTCCATCAGATGAAGATGATGAACCAGTTAACTCTGCAACAAATGATGTGCCAGCAGAGGTTGCCAAGCCAACACCAAAGCCAGATACTGCAAAAACTAAGAATTTTGATGCAAAATTCAACAAGAACAAAAAATCGCAAGGTGCACAAGCAGCTGGTAAGCATGAGCGATTTTTGAAATATAAGGGACCGACTGAAGACTGGGCTGGAGATGTGGAAAAAGCTATTAAAGCTGCGATGGAGGAGGATGGAGGAAAGAGTCAAGAATCGAAGCCGAAAAGCAAAAACAACAGAAACAAAGTCAGGAAAAGAATGCGCGATGAGAGAGAAGAAGATCGTGCTAAAGATCAGAAGGTATGTAAAATTCACAATCATAGATTTCGTTTACGCAAGTGCATCAAATATTATGTTTTCTGTATTAAATATTCTTTTGAAAACCAAAGTTGTCTTTGTTTTATGATTAAATTTTTATGATATTGTATGATATAGAAACGAAAATTGAGTGATGATGAGAACACGAATGAGGATGAAGATGAAATGCTGTTTGTACGAGGAGCTTCGCCCATCAGGAAGGATTCTCAAGAGAATAATTCTCCCAGGCGTACAAATGAGCATGAGAATTTTGACAACAATTCGGATTATGAGGAAAGACCCAATATAAATCGACATAGAGAAAATGACAGCAAACGCAGCGCTGGACGTGGAGGAGGAGGTGGAGGAGGTGGTGGTGGAGGTGGAGGAGGTAGAGATATTTTTATTTTTAATTGCGATAATATAATTAAAGTATTATATGTATAATTTTATCATCATTATGTAATTAAAATTGTTCAAATTATAATTTATCAACTATATTTCATTATGTTAACGCTTTTATGTATTTAGGACGTCGTGGTGGCAAAAACGAACGTGGTAAGAATAAGACGCGGGGTCAAACGCGAAATGATCGAAATAATCGTCGTCAGCAGAACAATGATCATGGACAAGATCAATCGGACACAATTTGCGTATATTACATGCAAGGAAAGTGTCACAGAGGAGATGATTGTCCATATTCACATAACGCTTTGCCACCCAGAAAGATGGAATTGTGCAAATTCTACCTTATGGATTGTTGTGCAAAACGAGACAAGTGCCTCTATATGCATCATGATTTTCCTTGCAAGTTCTTCCACACAGGTTTAAAGTGCAGTCAGGGTGATAATTGTAAATTTTCTCATCAGCCTTTAAACGAACAGGTATATATCGTAATTTTATAATATCATAATATTGTTAGTTTACAGCAAAATATTATAGTGTCAATATGTGAGTTACAAATAAAAAATATTTGATACTGATAAAAAAGAAACGAAATGAATTATATTAAATTTGTTAGTTTACTGAAAGTAATTCTATTTTTGAATTATTTTGTTTCAGATAAAAGGTATTCTTTTGAAACATTTGGAAACTGCACCAAAGGAAATTCTTGGTGATTTTCCAAGATTAAGTAGAGAAGGTGCAGTAATAATGATAAATAATACAGCACGTTCTCTAGCACAAGGACAAGATGTAACAAATCAAAAGATTCCTAGTCTCTTTGAATTGAATTTATCAGCACCCGTGGAAAAGGCTGATGAAAAAGATGAAAAAGGTAAATTCTCTCTTTTAATAAATGGAAATTGATCAGTTTTTACAAAATATTGTGATATTTTTTTATTTGTTTCAATTATACTAAAATCATAATTATTTAATTATTAAATAGAAGAACAAATAAATCAGCAAAAAACTAATATGAGGGATAGAAAACCTTCTGGAAAAAAGACGCGATGGGGATCAGATGAAGACAGAGTTCCTTACGAGCAAATTATGCTAATGCAGTCAGCTAATGAACTTGGTCTTCAACTTCCGAACGCGGCATTAGGTTTAGCCACTCAACAAACACAAATTGCTGCACCGCCTGTAGATTTCTATAGCGAAAGAACTGCAGAATCAAATAAAACTGTTGAAAAAACAAAAGAAGATCATGTGAAGACCGTAGAAGAAACAAATATATCAGATGAGGTATACATATAGTTTAAATTTATTACTGCACAAATTTATATTATAATTTATATTGTTGTGAATTACGTTTACAGCTAAATTTGCATTAAAAAATATAACATTGATACAGTTATTATAAAACTTATATCTATATTATTATATCTATATTTATAGTTGAGAAAGAGGAAAGATATTGACTTGAGGCAGTTATTGAATGCAAAAAAACCGCCACCACTTGTATATAGTATAGCTGATAAAGTGGCAAATCTTACTAAAAATAAACTTGACGACGAAAGTGATCAAGATGAGGAATCGGAGCTTATTATTGAAGTGCCAACTGAAGATGAGGATAAAGAAAAGGGAAAGCTCCATAGTAGCGAACAAAGTAAGAATCTCTTATCTTATTTTTTAATTCTTTTCTTCAGCTATATTTAATATATTATTAGATATTTAATAATGTTTACCTATACTTATTATGTGTGTGCGTTTTTTTTTATTTTTTACTAAAATTGGTATTTTGTACTATATATTGCTCTCAATTTTTATCGTTATTAATATTATTCATATCAAATATTATGCACACATATGGATAATTGGAAAAAAATATATAATTATAACTGTGTTTAACAGGCGAACATCTCATTTCTTCATGTATAGAAGTTCACGAAGCAATGCCGCCCCGCTTACCAAAGAAGGCGCAAGAATTGTTTATGCGGATACAGCAGCAGCAACGCGCGGCTCAGGACAGTTTAAAAAACATGGATAATGATTCCGATGCACTTAATACCGATCAAATAATCGAAGATTGGTATTCGGATGACGAAGATGACGACGACGATGACGACGAGGGAGGTAATCTTACCATAGTGGATAGTTCGAAAGACGATATTGAATCCATCGAGAAGACTCAGAATGTCGTTATCAAAGAGAACTTCCAATCTGCGACATCCAACATACCTCAGCCGGCCGCTATTGTGGACAAATTAGGTGACTTGAGCAAGATTGACATCAGTGCCGAGGTATCCAAGTTGCTATCTACTCTGAAGGCTCAGAGCTCCACGAACAACAAGACGCAACAAGCGGCAAACTCGAATCAAGACGCGAAGGTTAAATCGGTGCAAGATACAAAGACAGATAACGAGACATCATCGAGTCCGAGGCGGTCACCGGGCCCGAGTTCATTAACAATGTCTGTATCTAGAGATCCACGAATGTCTCGGGATCCCAGACAACGTCGAGAAGTTGAGCAGAAACCGAGCAGCCCTAGCATATCTTCTGATGTGAAGAGAGAGCAGAAACCTCTTAGGCTAGAAACGAGCATCTACAGTTCCGGTATTACTTCGGTGGACGCTAACATGGATACCGATCTTCGCACGAGAGCAGATCAAGATCTCAGACGACAAGACATGGATTTCCGACAACGTTTCCAGTCTGGTGATTTTGGTGATACAGATTTGCGTGTTAAATCCGATGTTGATCTGCGGCAGATACTGAGCCTGCCGTTCAAACCGGCACCTGCGCATATACCATGCACTGAGATCGACGCAAGTATCGCTTCGCATCCACCGATGGCATACAAAGTCTATATAGTCGATATACCCAGACCGGATTACACTGGCCTCAAGCTAACGAGGAATGATGCACAGGTCAAATATGATCCGCGCCTCCGTAAAATCTTCCGTATCACCAAGCCTGAGCAACTAGCCGACTCGCCAATGTCGCCACCGCCACAGGCTAAGCAAGAGACACCAAAATCGCCGCCACAATGTGTTCGTTCAGATCCACGACGAAAAACTCTCGAAGCAGCAGCTTCCAATCAACAATCTTCGCAGAATGCGACCAATGCTGCGATGATGGCTAAAGGGATGCAACCAATGGAGACAATGGGAGCCAACATGGGTCTTGGTCCCGCCAGCATGCAAGTAAGACCTGGTATGTCTGGCGGTCCACTACCTGGTGGCATTCCAGGTCCACCTCAAAGTATGATAGGTCCGATGGGCCCAAACCATCCAATGAGCATGGGCAACATGGGTCCAATGAGGCCTATGATGAACGCTGGGCCGATGCCACCGCAAAACATACCGCCAATGGGCATGCCACATGGTCCGTCGATGGGTATGAATGGACCTGTTCCGATGCCACCTCAAAGTCAGATGAATTTCGATCCACGTTTCAACGCGCAGCGTAATAATGGGGCTGGATTGTTGGGTCCTGGGCCGGGTACCTTTGGACCGGATAATTATGAAGGAGGACCGCCTTATCCTTGCAGTGGCAATTTCAATAATTTTGGAGGTCCCAGTGGTGGTAGCAGTGATCCGTTCGGTCCGAATGGATCAAATGGACCCAATTTTGGTCCGATGAGTAGTGACGACTGGGGCAGTAGGCAACGCGGTGGCCGTGTTCGCCGGAGAAATCGCAGTAGGACAAATATGGTGACCAATAATTAAAAGATGTATTAGGAAAAATAGATTGTGAATACCTTTCATTATAATTCTCATAAGCGAAAGAATTCGTGTATGTGTGTGTGTGTGTGTGTGGGTGTGTGTGTATATGTGTGTGTGTAACACTCGAAAGCACATTTTAAAGTCTTTCCAATTTATGTATTGGAAAATACATCAAAGTACTTTCTTGCGTAGTTCTACAGATTTATTTCTTACAAATCTGAAAAATATTTATGTAAATATTTATAAATATTATTTACAAATAATTATCAATGAATATGTACACACATCTTTGATTTACATAAAATTAAATCTGTAGATTTACTCTAGAGAAATATTTAATGACGTAATAAATATTCGGATGAATGGATAATTATGAACGATAAATTGGGAATTATCGAGTGATAGCTCATGGTACGTAAATTTTAAATTATAATGAGAAACTATATCACAATGCTCATACATGTGCAATTTTCCTTTGGAACATCACATGAAAGTCGGTATATTCCAACACTCAGACTATACTGAGTTCATCACTCTTATTTATAAATCGTTGCATAATTTTCAAGAACATTAAGTAGACATGTAAGTTTATAATATAAGAGATATTTATACGTAGACAAATACGAATATGTATCGGATCGTCTACAATAAATAGATTCTACGAAAAGACACTTAGCACACGTAAATCGCGCCGAAATAATTGATTAAAATACACGAACGTTTAAAATGTTAAGCGAAGATTGATAAAGATGCTTGAATCGATAATTAACGTCTTCCACAAAAGACACGCGAATACCTGTGGTCTGTAAAATTCATGTTACTTTTCACGATTAGCATCCACGATTCGTAAATCGACATGCATGATTTCACGTATCATGGAGATAATATAGGGATTCTAAGATAAACTGCAATATTTTGTAAAAAAAATTAATGTATATCGATTTTGCAAAATATGTAACTTATAGCGTTTTTATTAACAGAATTAGTGCGCATTCAGTGCACTTTAAAGTCGTACGTAAATCGATGAAAAGGTATATGTTTAATGAAAATATAGAAACAAATTAAACCGCTCAATTCTTACATTTTATTGTATTCCTTGATAAAATATACATTGATAAAAATATATTTTATCAATTGAGATATCTTATACACATTCAAATTAGAGTAGTATAACAACTTAAATGTGCACTGAATGCACGCCAGTGAAAACGCTATTAGTATTTTTTTACGCTTTCAAGAAGAAGGTAGATGAGTATGTGTAGATTCCAAACGCTCCAATTAGAAACATGTAAATCATATGTCGAAATATCATGATTTTTATATCGCACATTTCCGATGCAGGTTAATTATTTAGCGCCTTTATTGATTCTTTTTTGTAGTACAGACTTGCGTGTCTGAACTTTAATGTTAATATTGCGATAAAAAGGCAGAAATTTCTAGTTGTATGTATCTTCTTTGAAATTAATCTAAGAATAGATACAAGATATTGACTTTCATTGAATTATAGACCTTAATCAATGTTAATCTATATATTTTTGTTTATTATTATTGCTATATTATATAAACGCAGAGCGAAGTTACATTTATAAAGAAAATACATTTGTAAAGTTTACTATTATTATATATAGCAAGATTTTTGTACAGACGAGAGTTGTTGATGCAAACGAAAGTTTCCGATTTGTTTCAATGATGTAAATACCGCTGTATTAATTCTGTGCACTTTTTAAAATACAATTATTAATGCTAAACGTGTCTACATATGATAAATGGAAGATTTTTGTACAACATACAACCTAGGTGAAAAGTTGTATTATTTTTTTTCTAATGCGCGATTGTTCTTATTTTAAATTTAGATGAGAATAGACGACGATTCCAAACTGCAATTTCAAATACATTTGTTAATGTGTGATAGAACTTAGGGGGTCAGCTCTTATTGTTGATAGATCCAATCTCGCGTCCATTTCGTCGTCTATCTCTCCTACTATCGCTCTAAAAAAGAAGTAAACCATAAGCAATGCGTATTCTTTATGAATATTTATGTTAGATATTTATTTTCATATAAATGTTAGTGCAAAGTGAAATTATTTTTCTATATTTTTCTAGTGATAAATACTAATGTAATAAAAGAAACAATTATTATATGATTATTAAAACTACTTTGTATGTACACAGTTTGTATCTCAAGAAACTATACTAACACGTTATCTCCTCTAATAATGTGCAAACCCAAGACAACCTGCTCCACTCCCTGTGTTGTACTGTATACACGCTCGTGTGATTCATCCAGAATCAAATTGATAGTCTGATCAAAACCTTTCAGCGTACCCTGAAACAAAAACTTAGTTTTTGAAGATAAGTTGAATCATTATAGGGATATTGAACGTATAACTTTTCTCAAAACACACACACACACACACACACACACATATATGTAGCTTTAGATATTAACATTTTATTTTTTTAGCAGAATGCAATTATATACATAGCCAAAGTTTTGAAATGTCAATCATTTGTGAGAAACATTTTCAAAGAATTATGTAGCTTTATTTTTGAAATATTTATAAGACACTAAAGAGAATTAGAATGATCTGATAATGCTATCTGAATATTTCATATTTAAAAAATTTAGTTACATTATTACATTCTGCTAATGAATAAAATTTTAATATCAAAAAACATGCATAAATATAGGAATATTAAAAATTTAATAATCATGAGTTAGAAAATCATGTAAACATAATATTGTATTCTACTGTAATTATATTTTTGAGCAGAGTACAAAGTAATTACAAACTGTGTATGTATGTAAATCGGATATTCATAATTTTTGCCAATAATTTGTGTACTCACGATAAAATTCCTACCGTCCGACGTGATAATGGAAACCGTATCTAAGTAAATTTATCGAAGTTAAAGGTTAATACATTTATTATGTTTGTCACAACTCTGTTGAATAATAAATTATATAAAAAGGATACGATTCACATAACTCTCTAATCCCGACGCCATTATTTATTGTCACACACAACTGCCTAAAAATCACATAAATACGTTAACGAGTCATTAGTTTCTACGAATATAGGTTAGGTTAGCAATTCTGGAGAAGTAATGTCAGGAATGCTAAAGTGAGGATATTGAAGAATATGTAATACAAATATAGCAATAGCGAACGCGTCACCACAATTATTCTCTTTTATAGCACACCTGCTTTCAAATTAAGTCAATGTTGACACAGTCAGGACAGCAGAAATACGTTACTACAAATAAACTGAATGACTTCCATCATCCATGCCGACTGACATATATAAACTGATGCCGAAATGCCGAGTGCCGATTATTTAAAAGCAAATAGAATACAAATAGAACGAGATTCACACGAACATGATTGTTCAAAAACTTCACGAGTCGGTGTCGGTTGATTGAATCGTATACATGTTTTATTTTTGTACTTTTAATTTTTTGACCATTTTTTATTCATTTTTTAATTTAATTTCACAACACACACAAACACACACCAATGGATTCTTATAATTATCTCATTAATACACACTAACTGATTGCAATTTACTGTTCAAAAATGTATAACTTTATTGTACAAAAATTTGTTAAAAAAAAATTTTTTTGTTCAACGTTATATTGTGCGAAACATAATTATAGAGTGCTTGCTTGATTATCGAATTTATAAACATTTGATTTGCCAATCTTTTGTGAGCGCGAGTTCGTTTATTCGGTGAATCATTCATTAGGCATCGCAGGAGTATAATTTTATTTTGTCACTATGATACAATGATAAATCACATGGTGATATTTTCTATTAATTATTTAAAATTCAATAACTATTAAATTATATGATAGATGAAATTATTTCTAATATCATGTGATTTTTCAAATTACGTGATTTAAAAAATCACGTATGTACTCGATGTGGAGTAATCCGTTATTTAATTTGTTTTAATTACACGATATTTCGTTATGTAACTTTTTTGTGACGTAATTTCAGTAGGGACTTATACTTTATTTTTGAACTATATATATTTCTTAAAAACACAAGAAAGTAAAACTTTAGAAACATAAAAATACAATTTAGAAAATATCTTGGAGATATAACATTTTTTGTAATACTATTTGCAATCTTGCAATAATATAATCTTTTTCATATTAGATAAGAAAAAATGAGCATCTGACAAAATGGGTTCCAAAAAACTGATCGACATAATATTACATATATTTTTATTTTTTTTCTTCTACTTGCAGGAGTTATATATCAGTACAAAATACGATTAAGTAAATATGCATGAGAATTTATAAAAACCTCTTTCACTTTAATATAAAACGTTTGTTGATTTATATGCGTTGTCTACAAATAACGCAACAGTTATTATTTTGTGCTCATAAATAAAGATTGTCTTTAGTCCTGATAGATATTTGACACATATTACTCGCAACATTATACAGTACAGAAATTATTGGATTAGTTTATAGATTGAGTGTATTTTGTTATCAGGAATGCCATTGTTTACGCATTGCACTGCGATTTTATGTTTAAAATATAGCTCTTCGGTAAAGTACCGAAGTTTGGGGTGTCCCGTCGGGGCCCATCCAAAATTACGAATATCTGTATAATTTGAACAAGATTTTAAAACTATATGTATATCTTAATAAAATAAAAATTATTAATCTATCATTTAATAAATAGCAATAAGTCAATAAAGATAGAACGACATTTGTGTCTCCTAAAAGAAAACAGCTTTTAGGCGATGGAACGCAAAAAAGACACTTGAAATCTGGTAATCCTGTTACGCACCTGTGTCATCCTAATCGATAAAACAGCGATCCATTCGAAGGTCGACCGTTGGTAAGACAGGAAAGTAAGAACAGTTAATCGCCATTTGCTCCGCGGTGCCGACGCAGGATGTCGCCACTATGAAGTTGGCGCGCGCCAAAACGGTGTGCGAAGCGCGACTCGCGACAATATTCAGCGCAATCGAGACGGTTTTCGAACGCGCTCGACCGTCTATCGGAGATTTCGTTGAGTCAACGGGGACGGGGTGATAATCCTTTTAATCTAACGGATTAAAAACCGCATCGATCGCGTTCGTTGCGGCTTTTATCACGGTCGGTTGCCGGCTATCACGAATGCGCTTATGCTCCGGCACACGAATACTAATTCAGGTCTGAATTTGCATCCGTTTCAACGCGGTCCAGGATATCGACTCGCGCCGGGGGCTTTCACTGGCTTTCACCGTGGCTACAGGTAAATTGTTTTCTTTTCATTTCGTATTGGTGTTTTAATATTTGCCGAGTATGCCGGGAGCATCTCGGCGCTGTCCACGATCGGACATAATCCGGTATTTTTCGCTCCGCTCCTCCTCTATCGTGATTCAACTCGATTGTCTTCGTTTCGGAATTCGATACGAAAAAAATTTCGCGAGATTTCCACGGACGCATAAATTTTGTCGGGATCGGATAACCACACACGGATCCGCGTTCGGAAAAGAAATACGAAAAAATAAAAGTGCTAACAAAATATGAATGACAGTCAGAAGTTTCGTAACTTTCGAAATAATATTTCATCCAAGTGAATCAAAGTTGTATTTATCGGCACGATCGACGATAGTCGAGACTGTCGAGAGAAGCGAAAATAACGTCATTCACAAACTGGCTATTTTGTTTTATTTTCTGTAATTTACGACTTTACGAGATTTTAGCGCGACTCAATGAGTCGCTATACTGACTGTATATATTGATTCTATTAATGAAATCGATATTTTTAACGGATGACACTGGCATATCGTAGAAATTGGTTGAATATTGTTATCATTATCACCGAAGTGTGTATATGCATGTCCAATTAAATTATATAATAGGAAAAACATGTTTCGCTATAGATACAAAAAAATGTTCTATTGCTAAAAAAGTGATTACTCATGAATTTACTCTATCCTTTTTAAATAACGCTTATCTTAATATATTTTAATATTTTCTTGATAATAATCTTAAAATGTACTTACTATTACAAATTTCAAAAAACTCATTTTTATGTACTCCAAACAAAAATTTATTTTCCTTTGAAGAATATTACAAAAGTGATCGAATTTACAAGCAAATCGAATCTGCTTCAATTTAATAATCTTGATTGAAGTGTAATATTAAACTTGGGATTTTTTTTCTGAATATATCTTGATGGATTTATGATTTGTGTGTGTATATATGAACTTTTAAAATACTTGAAACAAGTAATTATTACTTACGTATAGTACGTGTTTATTTATGGCAAAAGGCCGAACTCATGCCATGATATATCGCTGCGCTTATCTTAGCGCCGATTTCTTGATTTTAAACAAGCACAACCGGTCGCTATCAGTGGATGCAAATTGAATTTATTATAAATTTGATAACTTGACTTGATAACAAAAATTTTTTTGAGGTTTTCATGGGTATTTTCTTCAGAGATACAAAAGGATTTACGGGTTATCGTCATATCGTGATTCATTGTTAGTGCCAACTTTTTGTGAACCTTGCCTCTTTATTAGAGAAAGGAGCGCACTGAAACTGAGCTGCTCTTCCGGATATAACGCGACTTTAATTTCCTGAATTTTACTTTAATCAGAAATGTAAAATAAGGCACGTCATATCACCAAATATCAGTCGATTTATTAGTCGATATTGTATAAAATATGTAATACTTATAATGTTTAAATAAAACTCAAATTTTATTTTTAAAGATTGCTGAGAGTGAAGTCAGAAAATACTTTAATTTTAAGAAGAACTATTTGAATACGTATGCTATTTATGTGAGATAGAAACGAAAATTATATCCTTTTTTTTTACAATAGTATCCGTAATATTAAAAAACGGAAATTTAATTTGTGCTAAAAATGGAAATATTAAATCATTGAAGATATAATGAGACAAATGATTTTGAAATAGCAGTTTTAAAAGAAGCGCATTGAAAATTTTCAGAAAAATATTGGTGAATTAACATTTCTTTTTATCATATACTGCGATTTAAGAAAGATGAGATACAAGGATAAATGACATGTAATAATTGGTATATCATTGGCAAACAAATTTGTAGCTAACAGCTTGAATAAATTTGAATCTTTCAAAGTGTTATTTTAATAATGCGCATGGCAATTTTTGGTAAAAGCGCTTATGAATAATAAATTTGACAACGTCGCTCAATGATTCGAAATTCTCGTGGTAAATATTGGCAGTTAGCTCCCGTACCCTATAAATACACAATACATACAGTAAACGTGAATATTCTGCCAAATTTTGATTCTCCGTGTATATATATATATATATATACAATATGATTTTTTTGCGAAACAGGATTTGCGCGAGAATACGAATGCAGCGCGAGATGAGTATTACAGAGTATACATCGTAATACGTTAAAAAATGGGTTAATTAAAGTACACGAATCTATATTGCACATTTTTAATTTGTTACTCTTTTAATAGTGGATTTGATTATCTTTTGTTCAAATTGCCAATATGGATGTCGTGAGATTTTCTACCTGGGAAGTATTTCAATCTTAATAGAGACGTAGCATTTTTCAACAAATTTTTGCAATGATAATGCAATCCATACTGTTTTTTAATATTTGAAAAGTAGATTAGAAATTTGTGATTTTAGAATCTATTATATTTAGAAATTTTAAAAATATAAAAGCGCATAATATAAAAATAGTATACATTATCAAAATATATATGTATATGTAATTGACAGATGATGGGAGTGTAAAAAATATTCGTGCAATTTATTAGAAATTTTTATAGAAATTTTGTTGTATTTTTAGAAATGGCACACTTATATTAGTATTTATTATTAATTTTTTGTAAGTATCAGCAATAATTGGCATAAATAAACTTTCAATATTGAAAGCACATTATAGTGTAGATATTTATATATATGTATATGTTGTTGAATGTATCGTATATAAATTATAATTACAAAAAAGATTATGAGATACAAATTTGTAGACGCGTGTGGAATATAATTTTATTAAGAATCTTATTGGACGGTACATTTGAAAATTCAACAAATAGGAAATAGGATATACTGGTCATAACGAATATATTATATATATTAGTATTTGCATATATATCATGTTTAGTCATTTGAACTGTGCGATGAAAGATTAAAAATGCTGTTAAACTACTGAAATAATATCACAATAAATTTTGATGCTCAACAGGCATCTATTAAAGAGATCTTAATATGATAGAAATTTGTAAAGAAAATTTATTTCGTAAAATATTATCTCGGTCGGGAGTTAAACCTGAATCTCTTGCATTCCGTGCGAGCGTCCTAATATGTAATATATACAAGTACATGTCATGTATATATAATATATATATAATTGACATTGAATTA